GATAGGGTAACACCTTGGAGCCCATTCACTCATTCATTCATTCATTCATTCAACAAACACATACTTCCTGTCCTCTGGAAGCTTATAGTTTAGGGGAAGACAGCCAACAAATAAATAACGACCTAGTTACACCCTATGATACATACACCCTATGGCCGAGAAACACACAGTGCGTGAGGTAGAAAGGCAAGAAGGCTGAGCTCAAGCTGATCTGGGAGCCAGAGACTGAGGTGGGTGAACTGTAAGCCTGTTATGTGGGGAGAATATTCCAGACAGAAGAAACAGCCTGTGGAGAGGCCCTGTGGGAGATGAGCCCACTGGCTTCCTGGAACCAATTTGGCCATGAAGTGAGAAGTATCAAGGGAAAGAAGGGAGTGTGAAGATGTGCGGGACTCCAGGGAGTATCTGGGTCTTGACTCTACAGCACAGGATGCTTTAGGCCTCTTCTTTCTGGGCCTGTGGTATGTGACACTGTTCCTGAGGAAACCAGAACAAATGTCTACTTATCCCAGAACAGGGAGCCAATGAAAACAGACCAAGGTGTGGACACCACACACAGTCTGACTTGAGGAACTAAGAAGTTTTATTGGGGTTGCTTTTAGGAATGAGGGTGTGAGGTTACTTACAGGAGCAGAATGACTCAATGACAACCCCATGGCCAATAGCTCGCTGCAGCATGGGTGACAGTTCACAAAAGGTAGAAACCGGAAGTGCACCGCACAGCCTGCAGGCTGCTCAACAGGAAAGATGGAGTGTGTCCTGCAGGTTGTTCTGCTGAGCCCTGCTTCTTCCAAGCTGTTTGGCTAGTCTGAGAGTCTTCTGGGCTTGTCTGTGAGTGGCTCTCCGCAATCCTTGCAGCTTATATGTGCTTGTGGAGAGAGGGGCCTGGCTGGCTTCACAGACTTCCTGAAGCTATTTTTTAGTTCCTTACTTCCAGTCTTAATGAGTTTCCCTGCAGGATGGAGTGTTTCACCTCCCCTTAGAACATCCAGTTGTTTCACCTCCCCATAAACCTCTTAATGAGCTCTCCTTCAAGATGGAAGGTTTTTAGCTTGGAGAGAACCTTGACACAGCAGCCTGGCTTCAGGAAGAGCTTGGCCTCCGTGGACCATCACTTGGCCATCAGACTTAACAATGGCTTCCAACCTTGACCCATCTGCCAGGTCGGCTCACACAGGCACCCTGGAGAATGCCCCAGCACCCTTCCCACAGGAGGAAGGGCAGGAAAGATCAGCCTGACTTGAGTGCACTGGCAGCAACTGTCACCTGGGCTAGGATGATGCTAGGCCTGGCAGGATGCAGAGTATAAATCTCTGTGCGCCCTACCATAGGGGACTTCCCCTTCTCTACATAGAAAGGCTGCAGCTCACCAGCTTCAGCTCTCGCTGAGTCCGCACAGGGAAGATAACCAGTAGCGAAAAACAGGACTGTCTCCTCTTCCCAGCCAGAACACTGAGGGAGACTACTAAAACGAAAGGACAGAAATTTCAGCAAGGGGTCCATGTTCTACTTGGAGGCAGCCTCAGCGTGTAACCCAGGGCAGCTGGCAACCTCCCTGGTGTCCTTGCCCTTGTCTGTAAGGTGAGGTGGGTGAATGCGATCATCTCCGAGAGCACGCTGAGTCCTCACACTCCATCCTTCTCTGTCGCTTGGAGTGGCAGGGGTCACTGCCTTTATCAGAGTCACTTGGCACGGCGCGTGTGTGGCAGGGCTAGGATCAGGGCTGACTTCGCAAGTAGACAGTACATTCTGTCCTCAGTCCAGTGTTCTAAAGGTCAAGAGCTAAATAGTGGAGGAGATAAGTTAAATGGGGGAGCTAGCGCGTGCAATAACTAGACAATAAAGCTGGGGTTTGCTTTTTACCAACAAATCTCTTCGTGTATGGCTAGGCCAGATGTAATTATGGGCAGTTTTCGAGACTGGGTGTTTATAGAGTGTCTACACAAATGAAGGCAAGGAAAAGAGAGCTTTGTGGAAACACCCGGATGTCATTCCTGCCATCCTCAACCCTTTGCAGTGGATGTGCTAACTGTAAAATGTGCTGCTCATTACAGCGGCTCTTCATGCATCTCTCCAGGGGCCAGGTTCATTAGCTGAGTTCTGTCGCTATGTGCAACAGGCATGAGAAAGTTCAGTTCTAAGAGAAACTGTTTGCTTTGGACTTTGTCTCACTCCAGCTGTTTTCTCCTGCCGTGAAGCCAGGAGACCAGCTTGAAAGGGAACAGCCAGCCAGCAATTTGGGGTTGTTCCATATAACGGAGACGATAAGGCCCTGCTGTTCTACTGGCCCTTCTCGGAGAGGCTAAAGGCAGACAGTAGGCTCTATATTTTTGCAGCCACTCTGTTTCTTGCACTTAGTAGGAGCATATGCACATGAATAATGACTGGCTGATTAGGAAAAAAAAAAAAAAAAACAGAAGAGAGAGGAAGGTGCTTCCTCTGGGAAGTGACCCGATGACCCAGACCCTTGTGCTCCTGGTGTGCACATCCAGGGAGAGAGGGCATGTGCTAGACAGACATGGTTTTGAATTCCAGCTTCTCTTGTCACAAGCTGTGAGATGCTAATCAGGCCTTACCTTCTACCTCCGCACAGTGGGAGCAGTGATGCCTCTTCAGGGTCACGGTTAAGGCTGTGAAGGCTAAATGCAATAAAGGGCCAAAGTCCAACATCGTGACTGACGGATGGTACCCTTTGTCTTCCTTCCATGTAACCCTCAAGAGGGGCACCAGAACGGCGTCTCCTGGTGCTGCAGTTGCTCTTAGCCTGTCCCTGACTGAATGTCAGGAAGCCAGAGGGAGGTGGCCTGCACCCGAATCTCAGTGGCTGCAGGAATCCAATCCAGTCGGCATGGCTCTCTCCCAGCTAGTCTTGCCAGATGTATTTGGCTTTAGCTCAAGGTTGCAAAGTGGTTATATAACTATAAAATAAAAAGACCTAGAATTTACAGAAATCTCAGTTTTCAGAGCATTTTTGCAGGAATTATCTCATCTAATCTTCTCAGTAACCTTGAAAAGCAGTAGAGGTCTGGACTAGAACCTCCAGTTTATGGACAGAAGAATCATGGCTTGAAGGGTTTATTGGCTTGAAGGGTTTATTTGATTTATTCAATACTGAGGAACAACATGGAAACTTGGACAGAGATCTCTCATCCCTTGCCCTGGACTTTTTCCACACGACATCTTTATGATCATGCTTTCATCAGGCAAAAATACAGCTAAGTGCTTGGATTCAGTAGTAAAAGGTGTAGTCAAGTTCAGGAGATGTCCATTCAGTGAGGTATAATGGGAGCTATGGGGAAGAAACAAGAAAGAAGGGTCACCCAGCCCGGAAGTCTTCCTGGAGGAGGAAAGGCATTGGTCCAGTCTTGGAGACAGTGGGTAGTCGTATGAGCAGAGAACAGTGAGCAGAACTAAGGCAAGTGGAAAGCCAGAAGTGAGGTGGGCCAGCAGGCTATACTCCAGCGCTACAGGAATACATTTGGTCTGACTCTACCACCATTCTCTCATCCACCCATTCATTTAATATGTATTTATGGTGTCTGTGTGCCAGAGGCTGTGTGAGCCACTGGAGGAAGATGCATGAAGGTGCAAGCAGATGTAGTCCCCGAGTCCATGGACTTGACCATAACATGATGCCTACTGGCTCTGGCAGGAAGCAAGAGGGCAGAAAGTGAAGGGTACATGAAGAGCTCATCATAGAAGGCTGGGTTAAGAGGACATAGATTTTTAGCCTGAAGGAGATGGCAAGCCTTGATAGATTTTCAGCACAGGATCAACACAATCAGCTTTCAATTTCAGAAAGATAAGCTTATAGGATGACTAGAGAGAGTTGTCTGGACTCCACAAAGCAGCTAGGAAACCAGAGCAGACTCAGAAAGAACTGGGTCTTAAAGCCCTGCGAGATGGAAAAGGAATGGCTACATTCAAGGCAGATGTGGGAAGAATGATGATAGACCTTCCTGATTGCTTGTGCATGAGATGAGGAAGAGAAAGACTAGACAGTAAGTCTAAGGGTCTGGCTTGAGCCCCTTGACAAGTTGATTCTATTCCCATGGAATTCTGGGAACTGTTGGTTGAGGTGGTATGTGGCTTTTCCTGAGGTTAGGTAAACAAATGTCTATTTAGTCAGGTAAGGAACTGATGACAAAGAAAAGTCCTACCCAAGTGCAGCCTAGTGAACCAGTGCCTTTTGTTGGGGTTACCAAAGAGGATGGATGAGGGTTGCTTACAGAACAAGGATGGCTCAGAAGCAGTGGTATCAAAGCCCACTCCAGTGTGCCTGATAATTCATAAGGCTTCATTCCTGGAGCTCTGTACACTACCTGGCATCTCAACCTGTAGAAGTCTCTTCTCACCAGCAATTTCTACTGCTTAAAAAGTCCCAAGGCTGTGCCTTCTGACTCTTGTGAGCTGTAGAAATTTCTTGTAATTTGTGAATTTTGTTCACTTCCTGTACCTTGTAAGTTTCACTACTTCTTGACTCTTAGTGTACCTCCGTCCAACCTTCGGAAGAAAATGTATCTGATGTGGAGGAAAATGCTTACATAAGTAGAAAATTAGAGCAAGAACTCTACTTTCTGGAATAGGCTGAGTGTGGGCCATCTGATACCACTTTTATCTGTGTCTGCAGCCCAGGAAGGAGCCTGAAACTTGGGGTATGGCTTAGAGTGTTAAGAGTTTCGAGATGATTTTTAATACTTGGAAGAGGGTGCAACTTTTTAGGGGAAGTTGCCAGGAGATAAAAGATCATATACCATTCAACAAGCCCTAGGGGTGCCTATGTTTCTTCTTTGATATCAAAATCATACTTGGCAAACATCCAGCCATCAGGCAAAATAAAGCATCATTGGAGAAATCTTTGGTGCCAGGGAGCGGGGTTAAGGTTAATGAATTGTAGGCAGTCTGGCCTGCTCTGGGCTTTCTAGGGTCTTGCTAATCCCTGGAGGTCAATGTGAAGTCACCATGTGCTTTTCTCTTTCTCTCTCTCTTCTCTCCCTCAGGTGTTTACAAAATATGGGAAGTGTTACATGTTTAACTCAGGCGAGGATGGCAAGCCTCTGCTCACCACGGTCAAGGGGGGGACGGGCAACGGGCTGGAGATCATGCTGGACATTCAGCAAGATGAGTACCTGCCCATCTGGGGAGAGACAGGTGAGCTGGGCCCAGAGACTGTGGTACGGGTGGTGGTAAGGGATGCAGGCTTCCCTCAGAAAGGCTGGTGTGAGCCAGGTGGGCTGCTGTCCAGCAAGAGGTTATGTATATTCTGACAGATGGTAAGGATGTCCCTGGCTTGGTCATCCCCGTTCCCTCAGATTCCTCCAGGTTGGAGAGGGTAAAGGATGTGAGTACTGGGGAGAGCTGGGAGACAGGTTGAGGAGATATGGAAGAAGGTTCCAAGGTCTAGATGTGGTTGGGAGGATGAGTGGCTTGATTTGGGGAGAAGAGGGTGGGATGGACCAGCGTGTGCCTCTCTCACCCATCCCAAATACACGATCCAAAGAGAAGGTCCAACCAAAGGACACTAGGAGATGCCTGGGGACAAGTGGAGGAGCCAATGAGGTATTGGAAAAATCAATGAACATTGGCGTGGGTCATGGCAAGGCCATGACCTTGCCATGTGTGTACCCGTTCCAAGCATTCATTCTTTTTATTTTGTAGTATAACATTAGCAATCAAAGAGTGTTACAGGGGGGAAATCTAAGTCATTGATCACAGACTAGTAAAAGAAAAAAATGTACCATGGCAAAAGTGGGGACCCAGGAAAGGCCTCTGAGTACACAGGGTGTTTGAATGGGGTCTTGATATTGTCCTAAATTATCTGGGTGAGACTAATGTCATTACAGGGGTGTCTATAAGAGGAGCATAGGAAGATCAGTCAGAGGAAAAAAAAAATGTGATGTAGCCATGAGCCAAGGAATTCAGGAAGTCTCTAGAATTTTACAAGAAAGGAAACATCAAGATGTGTCCAAGACTAGCAGCCATACACACACACACACACACACACACACACACACACACACACACATATGCCACATAATAGTAATGTTGTGCTCAGGGCATTACAAAGAGTGTCTTAGTGTTCTATTTCTGTGAAGAGACACCATGACCATGGCAACTCTTACAAAGGAAACCATTTAATTGGGGCTGGCTTACAGTTTCAGAGGTTTTCTCCACTGACATCATAGCAGGGAGCATGGCAGCACACAGGCAGACACGGTGCTGGAGAAGGAGCTGAGAGTTCTACATCTGAGTCTGCAGGCAGCAGGAGGAGAGAGAGCCTTTGGGCCTTGCTGTTGCTTCTGAAATCTCCGAGGCCACCCACAGTGACATACATCCTCCACACCTACACCAACAGGTCCACACCTTCTAATCTCTTCGTATAGTACCACTCCCCTGTGACCAAGCATTCAAATCTATGAGTCTATGGGGTCATTCTTACTCAAACCACCATATTCCACTCCCTGACCCCCCACAGGCTTGTAGCCATATCATAATTCAAAATGCATTCACTCCAACTTTAAATGTTCCCATAGTCTATCATAGTCTCAATACTATTTAGAAGTCCAAAGTTCAAAGTCTCTTCTGAGACTCAAGGCACTCTTGTTAACTGTAACCCCCAGTAAAATCAAAATCAAAAAGTAAAATCACATACTTTCAACATACAATGGCATAGGATATATATTACCATTCCAAAAGGTAAGCAACAGAATAAAGCGTACCAAATAAAGTATGAAAACCATCAGAGTAAACTCCAAATTCTGCATCCCCATGTCCCATGTCAAAGTGCTCTTTAGAGATCCAACTTCTTTCAGCTGCAACACACTTCTTCCTCCTAGCCTGGTTTCACATCTGGTCTACAACTTTCCTTGGCAGGTATCTCACTGCTCCGGCATCTCCATCACCTTGGGGTCTGCAACACCCAGTCCAAGCTTCACCTTCACAATTCATGCAAGGGTCTCTCTGGGCCTCCATGCAGGAACACCCCTGACACATGCTTGGCCTCAGCAGCTTTCTTTAGCTTCAGAAGGCGATCCCACAACACCTTTCTTGTATCCTTGACTCTCAAGCCAGAACCATGTGGCTTGAGCTGCCAAGTTCTGCTGCTTGCTGGTACTAGAACTTGCCCCCCCCCCAAATCAAATACATGTTCGTGGACTTTCTGTTTCCAGTGGTTTCCTTCACTGCTTAAGCTTTTCTTTGATTCATTTTCACAAGTTGGAAGCTTAATTGGCTAGGGTCTTGCCCTGAGGTCATCACTCCCTTTATTCCATTTAGCATCAAGCTTTCCTCAAGCTTTTTATCTCCTTGAGCACCAGACTTGGCGCCATTACACTTCCTGGTGCTCCTTTTCTTCTCAAACTGTACATTTTGTGTTTTTCTTTGCTCAGCTTGCTCCTTTTTATTAGAGATCTACATAATAGTAGCCACTAATAATCACATGACATGGTCAATACTAGGGTGTCTTGAAATCTCCTCTGCCAACACCATTAATCTAAAAATTCTATTTATCCTCAGGCACATTTTCTGGACAATAGCAAAAAGCAGCCTCATTCTTTACCAAAATAGCACAAGAATGGTCCATCCCTATCTGAAATGTCTTGAACTGGGCCCTTACAGTTCAAATTGCCCACAGCACTGTCTTCTATGATCCTATTCATATCGTCTATTAAGCCTCACTTAAAGAATTCTGCGGCTTTCATAATCCAAAGTCCTAAAGTCCACATTCTGCCAACAAGCAGTATGGTTTAGCCTATCATAGCAATACACTGCTCCCTGGTGCTAACTTCTATTTTAGTCATTGTTCTATTGTGTGAAGAGACATCATGAACACAGAAACTCTTATAAAGGAAAGTATTTCATTGAGGCTATTTCAGAGGTTTAGTCCACTATCAACATGGTGGGAAGTATGGCAGCATGAAGGCAGACATGGTGCTGGAGAAGGAGCAACATACTTTTCCCCCAGCATATTTCCTCCAACCAACCCTCACCTTCTAATCCTTATAAGCAGTGCCATTCCCTGAAGACTAAACATTCAAATATATGAGCCCATGGGGCCCATTCTTCTTCAAACCACCACAAAGAAGATTGCTGTGGAGTGAAGAGCATTCAAGGTCCAGTAGAGAAGAGAGAGTAGAGAGTAGATAGAGAAGAAGGGAGAGCCTGAGCCTTCAGGATGGAGCTGAGGAAGGGAGAGAGGCCAGGGAGTGTTGACTCTATATTTTGCTGCCTGACTCTATTCATGCTCCCACTTAGGAAGAGCCTGAGACCTAGCTTCTCCATGGCCCTGCCTTCTAGCTGCCAAGGCAGGAGGCTTTCTACCCTGAAAATGGCCAGCTGCAATGACAAGGACTCTACAGCAGTGGAACTGTCTTCTTCTTCCCAGTACCTCTCATTTGAGGGCCTTGATGGAGAGAAGTGACGGTGGCCATTGACCCTACATGATGGGTACCTTTCACCTGCTTCAGCTGAGAAGTAAAATCTCCCTATCCCACATGTAACAGGATGAAAGTCTGTGTTCCCACTTAGCTCTGGTGTCCCTGAGATCTGGTCATCTGGACCAGGCTTTTCAGAACATTCTGAGCCCATGGAACTTCTAACCTTCTGACCCTGAGTCATGAAGGTAGATTCCCAAAGGGTATCCCTTCTTGCAGATGACAGAACATATCTGCTTATTGAGTCACCTGGAGGAAAAGAGAGAACTAGAGAAATCAAATGAGCACCAAAGCCTGCCTAAACAGAAGTTAGTCATATCCTTCCGAGGTAAGTTGGGAGGTGCTATCCTGTGAGTTAGGAACATACATAAACCACACACACACACACACACAAAACCAGGGCCTCCACCACAGACATCCTCACATAGCCCACCTCCCTGCATCAAAAGGGAACCTGAACATCAGATACTGGTAAAAAGGACTCTGCTGACAGAGGACTTTGTCCCCGGGGCCACCTAGGAACTCAGCATTCTGCCTCCATTGACACGAGTGATGAATGAACCACATAGGTCTTCTATACTGTGCCAATATGCTTGTTATCTTGAGGCCTAAGTGAAGCAGTGATATTTTTGACAACATGCAGTAAGTTCACACAGCCAAGCCATCCCTGTTCTAACCCAGACATGACCATGAGCTGTGGACAAGTCAGAGAGGTCCCTGATTGAAATGAAGAACAAGCCCAGGTCTAACATGGTGCAAGGATTGGGCTATTGTCAAAGATACAAAAGCTGCAAGGCAAAGGCCCTACATTTTAAGAAGCATATTAACTCAACCTCGATCCTGTCAGGAGTTCTCTTTGGAGGTTAAACATTTGGAGAAACACCTAGCAGCAACTTGAGGCTGTACAGAGGATGAGAAGAAAGCAGGTAGGGAAAAGAAACTAGGTAGAGAGACTGATCAGCACTGTCCACGAGAATTTCCCAGAATCAAGAAAATATTCTCTGAGCCATTCAATATGTTATCTGTGGCTAGGGAAAATGAGGGACTAAATTTTTAATATCACCTTTTAAATATATTAATGTAAAGCTAAATAGCCCCAAGGAGCTATGCTACCATATTGTGGAGCAGTTAGCATATTGGAATACAAATTTGTCAATCTCTGGTTGGCTCTGTTCATTCTTGTCTCCATATCCCCCTCTCACATTCTTCTGGGCTCCTAATCCTCACCCTTCCCCTTACCGTTTCCTTGAGTGGTAGGCTGAGTTCCCTGTGCTCGCTAAAGGAAGTTGAGACTAATTCCTGAATGCCTGAGGTCAAACCCTCCTCCACTGAGCAATGACTGCCTCTGAGAGACACTGACTGATCAAAATTGCTTATTTCCTAGGTGAGTCCCACATGGGTGGGAATAAAGTCAATATACCCACTGAAGAATGGCTGATGAGTTTGGTGGGAAAGGACACTTGTCTGTGAAGCAGACTACCTGAGTAGTCTGGGACAGTAGTAGGGACAGAGATATCTAATATCTAACTGCTTGGCTGTCAGTTCTGAGGTCTGTGAGCAATTGCCACAACTACCAGGACACAGCCTTCCTGACTGCAAAGCTGCATGCCTGCACAGACGCCATCTTGCTTCCATGACTGCCTTACTTCTCACTTCCTGAAAGAAGGATCCTAGCTCCCTATAGGAGATATCTGGGTGTTGATGGAGGAGAAAAGAAAC